CATTTCTTTATCGCCAACATTGTAATAGACAACATGTTAGCCAATAATCTTTAGAAGTGTAGAGTTTGGTTTACTTCCTCAGAGTAGAGCTCATTGCGTTCGATTGGGTTCCCAAACAAGCCGTAGACTAAACTACCTTTAATTTCTAGCATAAGGATTGCCTAAAATTATAATGTTCACTTAAAGTTTTATTAAAATGTATTAACCCGTTGCCGAGTCTTTATATCATTGTTTCCTTTCCATTTGATCAATGTTTTTGAAGCGATTCTTATTAACTTTGACTAGACAATATGCGCGATCGAACACTATCTTGAAAAACGTTGTGAAAATGTTATTTTATTAGAAACTTATCAACAAACTAAACAAAAATAAACAGCCCAGAAAAATCCATTTTTCAGAGAAACTGTTGAAAAACTGTTATACACGCATCATAGTAACTGCAGAATTTCCAGCTGAAGTTAATGAAATTATTGGTATTAAAACCAAATCGAAACTGAAAACCTTTGAGAATGTTCAGTACGTTAACAGGATCATCACACAATAAATCGTAAAAAAAGAACAGCAGGGTTAAGAGCACGTCCTTAACAGGCTAATGCAATGACTTTGCAATTGAAGAATTTACTGAATCAGTAGGTACATAAACTTGAAGACGTGAAGACTAGACTTTATTTTGTTCGTTATTTGTGAGGCTTCTTTATGGCCTCTTCTTGGGTTCTTTGATATTGATTGTCTCCCCGTCTTTTAGTGTTTGAGTTTTATTCGTTATAACTGTTTACTGAGACTTTCTAGATTGCATTTTCAGATTTAATCATTTTCTCACTACACTTGAAGAAATGCGCTTAAAGTTTTAACAGATGGTTCATAAGGATTTCCCCGTGAAATAAACCCGAGAATTTTCACCAGAAACGTTGTGTTTTTGTTTTTGAGCATTAAAAGATTATTGCAATTTGGACTTGAGAAATTGACTAACGAGAAACTCACGAAGATGAAAGAGGCAACATCAGAATTTCAACATGAAAAAAATTTAAATTTTGAAAAGAAACGACACTAGCAGAAGACAAACTGTACATGGAAAGTTCAAAAACTTGAAGTTGTTACGTTAAGAGTATGTCATAATCACGCTAAGCGCATGACTTATAATTATAAGTAAAATTCTAAAAATCCCCATGTATTTAAGTTTAAAAAAAAACGTTTTGGAAAAACTTTTATTGTACAAGAGAAAGTAAAGAAGATTAAACAAAAATCGTACCAACACGATCAGAATTCAGACATCAACAAAGGAAATTTTTGCTGAGAATCTAAAAGAAACCAACAAGAATTAACGAGAAAGATTATTTCCTTAGAACAAATCCGAGAAATTTGCTCAGACACCTTAAAATTAAAATGTTGAGGTTTTTAGCTACGTTAAGAGCATGTCTTAATCACGCTAAAAGCATGACAAATAATCTTTGTAAATGAGGAATTAGCTGAATCAGTCCCAGTTAACCTTTAAAAAATTAGTTCTTAACACTTTTGCAGAACAGAAAGTAAAGAGGTTGAAACAGACGTCCCCCCTAACTAGAAATATTGATGATAACCCAAAAGAAACCGACTAGAATTGATGCAATGAGACGCATTCAAGGAATTTCCGCAAACATCTTAAAAACGAAATGGTAGAAATGTAGAATTCAAGAGATTCAAGAGGTTTTTAACGCTTCCGCGGAAGAGAAACTGATGAAACAGACTCCGATCCAACAAAACAAACAGGAGAGAAACTCAAAATTTAAACATCAAAGAACAAAAATTTTAATGAGAATGCAAAAGAAATCAGAATTGAAGAAATTTTATTATTTCAATACAAAAATTCCAAGAAATTTTCGCTAATTCTTTAGAAGGCGAATTTGACATTTTTTATTCGGCTAAGAGCATGACTTATGATCAATGAAATTGGTGATTTGGGAGTTGCCTGAATCAAACTATAGATTGATTAAATTAAAAATGTCACAGTCCGATTTCTATTGTTTTGTCAGCATATTTTCCGAAAAAGACAATGTAGTTCTGGCTGAAAGCGGCGTTTTTGCTACAAATTGTACCTAATAAAAAAGACCTAATCTACAATGGGAATACTCTTTTATCCTCCAAATTCAAAAGGAGCAGATCTAAATAGAAGCGCTAGTTTTATATAGACAAGAATAGAAAATTTAACAGGAGATTGCTTCCTGGCTTCCGATGTTTCAACCTTTATTTTTAAGGCTCTAACAAAAAAATTGTTTCAATTCTTTTGTACAAAATAAACCAGAATATCAAATGCAATCAAAGGAAGTAATAAGCCTTGTTCTATGGAAGTAAGCGAATGGTTACGCGTTAAGTGTAGTTGATAATTTGGCCGTGAGGGAGCGGTGTTGCCTATGTTTCCAAACGTCGGTTGAACGCGAGAATTGTAACGGGTCTACCGGTTGCCCGGATATTTTCGCATGCGAGGATCTTGACAGCGCTGGCCCCGGTGAATGGCGCGCAGTTTGAAAATTTACATTTAGCGCCGTGAAGTATTTTTCAAAACAAATTGAAGGGGGATACAGTAAAGTCCGCTTATAATGAACCCGGTTATAGTGAACTTTCGGTTAAAACAAACTTTTTTCCTTTAATTGAAATGTCGTCCTTAAGGACCAACGTATTTTTTACTGGTTATAACAATCCCGTTTATAACAAACTTCCGGATATAACGATCACTTTTTAGGTTAGTTGTATATTCACTTTCCGTTTATAACGAACTTCCACGCTCAGCAACACCAATCGTGCGGAGTTGTTTATATTAGTGAGAGCGAGAGACAGGCAGTGACTAGTTGTTTTGGCCGCGTTATGTATGTAAATCGTTTTAGAATGGAAAAACAAAAACTCAAAGCTTTTTCACAAAATGAAAAGTACGAGATTATTAGCAAAATAAAAAGTGGAGTAAAGCAGAGTGACATTTGTAAGGAATTAGCACTTGGAAAGTATACTGTTGCAACAATATGGTAAAACAGAGAAAACATTTTATCAGTGTATGACAAAACAAATATTAGATGTAGGAAGTTAAAATTATCTGCACATGAAAAGGTTGACAAGGGACTTATTAAGTGGTTTACTAAAAAAAGACAAGAAAACGTTCCCATAAGTGGCAGTGTTTTGCAAAAAAATGCTAGTGAAATGGGGAGTAAAATCAAAAACAAAGAATTTGCTAGTTCTAAAAGTTGGGAAAAGCGTTTCAAGAAGAGGCATAATATCAGTAGAGGAAAAATTGTTGGAGAGACTCCCGGTGAAAAATTCTTCTTATGAAAACGTTAGAGGCGATAAAAATGAAACGTTTTCTATAAATCTCTTAGATGCAGTCAATTTCATTCATAGAGCTTGGCAAAAAATTAGCCGAAAAACCATTGCAAATTGCTTTAAGCATGGGGGATTTGAAAGAAAAGAAAATGATTATGAACCAGACAATAAAATTCTACTTAACGAATGGTTAGAAAAGTATAAAGACTCTGACTACGAGTACGACACAGACGAAGATGTCCCAATGTTGTCGAAGAACAAGTTAAAACCAAATTGAGTGATTTCAATTTCTTCGAATATGTGAGCATTAATAATGGCATTCTTGCAAGAGAAATGTTGACCGATGAGCAAATTATAGACTCCGTAACCTCATCTACAGCTTTAATCGATAATGAGAAAGATGAAAATGAGAAAAACATCTATTTTTGCAGCAGAAATGTACAAACAAAAATTACAGACTTTATGAAGTAGATTTCAAATTGAATTTTGTGTGTTCTTTTTGTGTTCTTTTTAGACATACCTACTAACTTCTATTACTCTATGTAAAAATAACGAAATAAAATACATCACGTTTTTTTGTATTATTATTCGCTTATAGCGTCCTCCGGATATAACGAACCAGTTTTAGTTCATTTTTCAAGTTCGTTATATCCGGACTCAACTGTATTTAAAATAAATTGCATTTGGTTTCCTAAATCGTATTGGTAAGAGGGTTTTTGAACTCCGTACCGATTTTCCTGCAGCAACACTTTCAAAAATGTGTTGATGGTTTCAAACGGAAAGGAAAGTGAAGATAATTTTTTTAAGTCAGTAATAAAGATAGCAAAGATTTAAAATAAATAATAAGGGTGATCGTGCTGTTTGACTCCCTCCGAATTTTTAGCGTTTTCTTTTTTTTCCCTTAAAGAACACTTTAAATGAAACAGTTTTAGCGGAAAAAATTCCCAGATGGTCCATAAATTAAGCCAAAAAACACTCACAAAGTTTGAGGAAAATTACCATTTATAGGCCAAATTTCTCGCGGCGTTGCCAAACTGCGCAAAACTTTTTCAGTTTATAAAAATTGTTTCCTTGGATATATCTAGCATGTAGATTTATTCAATTTGGGTAGATTTAGATTATTTAGATATTTTCAGGTTATTAACTGTATTGCCTTTTTCTTAGTTTGAAATTTTATCCATAGTTAGGTTAGGTTACAACTGAATTACTCATTGATCAACTTTGATCAGATCGTAATGATAATAAATGTCCAACGGGGAGTTTAATAAAAAAAAAATCAAAAATTGCCTTTTTCATTAAGAAATCACTTCAACCATGCTAACACAAACAAACTAACTGAAAATTAACCCAAATGAAAAAACGCAAAAATACGGGGCAACACGGCATTGGTGAGGAATTCCAGAAAAAGACAAATAATCGCCATCTGACTAGCGACGGGCTAAATAACCTCAATCAAAGGACGACGTTAGAAAAGATGCTAAAACTTTTGCGAAAAACACAATTACTATGCGATCTTAGCGACAGTTTTGCATGTGGACTTCTGAATGGTGGATTCCTAATACACGATTTAGCAGAAAATAGGACCAAACAATTTAATTTTCGTGCATAAATAAGTGATTTTGGATGTATTTAGTACCGTTCACATCATTTTCAAACTGCGCGCCATTCACCGAGGCCTGAGCTGTCAAGATCCTCGCATGCAAAACCCTCCGGGCTAGCGGTAGACGTGGACAAGCCGCAGTTTACTGGCAACATGGCACTTCAATCAAAATCCCATGTCAAATCGCACTGACATTTCGTGCGCGTACATAAAAAACAACATCGATAAACCTTAATTATCTGTTTTCGTTCATTAAACTATGATTAAGTGCGACATTGACGCGTTCCCGTTTTAATTTGGCTCCAAGTTTTCAGCCCCCCATAGTGCATAGGGAAATGAGACTATTCGGTAACGCTACTGACGCAATGATCGTTGAAGATGTGGGTAAGTAATTGTTGGGGCTCCTGGGGCCTCCCCCCTAGAGTGTTGGCACGAACTCATAATCAAGGTGTTGTTGTGAAGTTGACAAAGCTTTGCTACGCCTATACCTGTGCTATGGTTGAGCATGAAAGACTGATTAGGAGCTTTATTGTTACAGAACAGGCAACCAGCGACAAGCTGGTTGAAGAGAACTGGCAGGTGATAATGAACATTTGTGATAAAGCAGGCAAGTCCAGTGATGATGCCAAGGCCTGGCTGAGGGCCATTGTGAAGCGGCTTTACAACACTGACCCCCATGTTGGGTTGAAGGCTGTCACGGTGAGAAACCGAAGCATAAAACTTGTCCGAACCCCACTTTGCTTGAACAGTGAGTCACGCTATTCCGTTTTAATCTCTTAAGCTTCTAGATGCCTGCATAAAGAATTCTGGAAAAAATTTCCACGTCGAAGTGGCCTCCAGGGAGTTTGAGAACGATTTCACTAAGCTCATGACCAAGGGGCATCCGCAGGTGGCCAGAAAACTGCGAGAATCACTGAAGCGCTGGTGCGACAACGAGTTTAAAACCGACGTGCAGCTCAGTCTGATCCCCGCATTGTACCACAAGCTCAGAAGCTCTTATGATTTTACGTCCACAGATACGGTAGGTTTTTCATGTCAGACAGACAGTCTAGTCAACATTCTAAACTTTCGTAAAAATGAAAATGATGGAGAAATTGTGAGAACGCTACTGAATACTACGCTACAGGGGGGTCAAAGTGCCTACAAACGGTGACACGCACTTTCTAATCTGACTAAAGTGAGCTACTGGACATTTTTGGATTTTGGGCTCAATTTTCTCAGCATGGCTTTGAAATGGAGAACTGTTCTACTTCACTTGTTTTGATATGACCGAAAAACGTTAATTAACTGAAAATTTGTTCGGATTTCGGGAATGCCTAATGCTTTGAAAAAGTCAGTCTAATTGAATTTTTCTTACGCAGCCCACAAAGACAAGACCAACGAAAACGAGCGATCCAAACGCAGTGGAGTCCCAAGAGGAGGAGGACCAAATCCTGAAAGCCATCGCGCTGTCTTTAAAAGAAACTACCGGTTTGTAAAGCAACTCGGTTGCCCCCCACGGTGGCTAATTATTGGGGCCTTGTTGCAGGGTCGCCCAAGAGCACATCATTAGGCCAACCAGCCCCTTCTTTGTATCCCACCGTGAACAATTTGGCAGCTCTTTCGATTTCTGCGCCCAACCCCCAACCAGCCAAGGAGCTTCGCAAAGTACGCGCCCTGTACGACTTTGAAGCGGCTGAAGACAACGAATTAACGTTCAGTTCGGGGGAAATAAGTGAGTTTCCACTAGTCTCTAGACCCCATAGGTGACGCTTATTCATTACGCTTTATTCAAACAGTTATGGTGATTGACGATTCCGACCCTAATTGGTGGAAGGGCAACAACCAGAGGGGCGAAGGCCTGTTTCCGGCCAATTTCGTTACGGCCGACCTTTCAGTGGAGCCAGAAAAGTTCCGTAAGTCCATTATAGGGGAAAAACCGGGACAAATTGGCAATTGGGTGTGCTGTTTCAGTGATAGAAAAAGCCAAGAAAAGCGTGCAATTTAAAGCAGAAGTGAAGGCGGAGGAAAAGGAGCCAGAAGACATCGAAATCAACGAGGACAAAATCAACCGGCTGTTGCATCTGCTGCATGAGGCGGACCCGACTAATCCGGAAACCGACACCGATGAGTTGTTAAGTTTGGAAAGTTAGTTTTCCATAAGAAAATTACATCAGAATTTATCGCCGAGTTATTACAGGGGAAGTGATTGCAATGGGGCCCCTGATCGACACAGAACTAGAGCGGGTGGACCGCAAACACGCACAACTAACTCAACTCAGCGCCAACCTTGTGGAGGCACTCGGGCTGTATCACACCCTAATGAGGGAGCCCCAAATTCCCAACAGCTTTGAGCCCACATACGGCTACGCCCCTGTAGCCCCGCGCCCAAATGTATGTTGCTGTTCGCCGCGCGGCCTGAAGTTAATTTCGTTTTTTTACAGCAGTTTCCGCAGCCGCCCATGGGTATGTACCAGATGCAGGGGCCTCCGCAGGCCTACCAACCCCCGTTGCCGCATCCCCAACCCTACCCGATGCCCCAGATGATGCCCAATCTCCCAATGGGCGCTCCCCAGCCCGGCAGCGGCGCCCCGCACGGGTTTCCACCCGTAATGGACGAGCGGATGATGGCTCAGTATTCACAAGGAGTAGCACAGCCCCCGTTTCCCAACAGCGGCCCCTTTTCGCAGACAAACTTCCAGGGCGGTGTTACAGGCGCCCCTCAGCAGCCCCACTACGTCACGTCGAGCACCCACATGCACTAGCGGAATTACTATATTCTCTAAATTATTATTTTATCAGGCCCAAAGGCGGGTTGATACGAAATACAGTTAGAACGAAAATTTCCGCTGAGCACTGAGCAACTAAAAATCAAGTTAAGCCAATATAGGACCTGCATTATCTGTATATTATTTATTCGAATGAGAGATAGATTTGTGATTATTCGTTGTGTAAAAATATACCAATCATTGCGAGTTATTTTAAGAATATGGGGTTTTTACTGTGGCACAAATTAGTGTTTTGTGTGGCCTATTGGACTTACCCCAAGTTCCCAGCATAGTCCTAATGGTCACTCACTTTGTGAGTGTTTATAAAACTTCCACTTTATACCCAAAATGGCAAATACACTAAACATTCGGAATTATTCCGAACTTACACGTTCTCTGCATAGAACGCAACAAAAAGGGGCTCTAGATAACCTCAAAGGGTCATTGACCGTTGGAAGCTTTTCTATGTAGAGCCCCATAGTTTGATGTGGGGTGCTGAGTACTGAAGGGCACTGGTTATGACTAGTTACTGATTAAGGCGCCAGCCCTTAATGGGGATTTTTTTTGCAAATATACTCGGAATGAACGCAAAAACTAGTTAAGTAACTGACAGCTGGCGTCGAAAGGCAAATTGCAATTGGCGACTGTTAAATGCAATGTCTCGCTTTAGTTTTGCATAGATAAGAGAGATAGAAATAGAGGACTGTGATTTGAAAATAACCGTTACTAAGGCGGTTTTTACTAGATAAATGGGAGGCGTCGTCTATTGAAATTTTATTTTCACATTTATTTAACCAGTACGTTATAGATTATTACATAAATATAAAAGTAAGACATAACCTTTCAACGTCACGTTCAAAGAAAATAAAAATATATTACTACATAAGTCTATAAAAATACAAACAACTGATAAGCTACGTTACGTTAAAGAACAGGTGAGGTTTCTATGAAAATTGAAGAATAACCACTCGCTCAAATAACTTTACGAATTTCAATGTATGTTCAGGTCGAGGGGAGAGAACTGTGATATCGATAGTACTTTAAAGCTGTACAATACTATTTGCAAAATTTGGGATTTATTTACAGCTAACGCCGATCAGGTACATACTTGTAATATGTACGAAAAAATTCACTGCTTAGATCCAGCCGAAATGCCGGTCACCGTCGAGCAAACGACTAATATACAAAAGAACCTAACCTAAGATAGGCCCGATCCCAGTAACCGTCATTAATCGCTCGACTTAAGTTCGGTTCAAAAGCCCATGCATTCACTAACTATAAGAACACCGTAAAACTAAATTGCTATGACGCGATCGATAGACAGGTCTCCATAAGAACAAGCTTGTAGCTCTGATTGGGCGGCTGGCGCCTCCATTCGGCCAATGGAAACTATCTAAGCTAATGACGTTAGTCCGCATGGCCAGCGGCCGTGCCACGAAGAGCCACAAGCCGTGTAAAACCATATTTAAATTAAGCAAACAAAATTTCAAACGATAACCATCCTACTAATATAGTCGCAAAATATTACAAACCAATAAGAACGCAACAGTAAAACAAACCCTGGTGGGGGGGTGGTAGTCAGGATTTATTTCCATTGTCTTCACATTCTCACCGGGCTTTTGATTTTACCGTTGCATTACGTTAACCTACCAATCTTAGCAGATAGAAAACGGGCAGATACGCAGTTATTCTGCCGGTTTTTCCGCTTCTGTTGATGGGGTATCGACGCCCGTCGCCGCTTCTTCTACTGGATCTGCTGCTTCTGTGCTGGTTTCTTCTTTAGGCGCTGCCGACGTTTCTTCCTCTTTCTTCTCGTCTTCCGAAGCGTCTGCGTTATCTGCACTGTCCTCCTCTTTGGCCCCGTTTTCGGTCGCCTCTGGCTCCTGCGGACAAGTCAAAGCCCATTTAGCTTTAGAGGAATGGATTGGAAAATTGCTACTCACTTTGGAGGACTCTGCAGCGTTGTTATTCGCCGACTCTTCCTTTTCCTCGTGAGAGTTGGTCTCCATCGGTTCCGGTTCGGACTTTGTCTCTGAAGACTCTGCTGGAGAAGCGTCGTCTTTCGACACTTCGCTCTTGTCTTCGTCTTCAGTCACTGAAGAATCCTATTGAAAATAGCACATGGGAAAAGCGCAATTTTTTCAATGGAATTGCGTACTTTGTTTTCATCCTGACTCTCCACCGTCTCCTCTATGACGGGTTTCTTGGATCGCCGACCTCGGCCTTTACCCGAGGGCGTTGCGGCCGCACTGGATTTTCGCTCTTTCTTCACTGGGGGCGGAGGCGTTGCCGTCGCCCCTTTGGAGGCCGAGCGTGTCATCCGACGACCTTCAGGTGCCGCTTCCAGTCCCTAAATTCCCATAAAACTCAATGTCTAGCCGCAATATCAAACGCCTTCACTCACCTTCAGGATGGTCTCGCTTTCTTCGCGCACTTTGTCAATGACCGAAGCTCTAGCTGATTTGGATCTCCGACTTTTTGGCGCCTTTTCATTCTGAAACAATGTTTTACTTTACAAGGGTGAAATCGAGAAGAAAAATTGTAGACTCGAAAAAATACATAAAGACATAAGCTCAGCTGGTAAACCATGCAAAACTGCATCTCATCAAGCTAAATCGCCTATTTACTGGTCATTGGAGGAGCAATGAGCGCCTGAAGCCCCCAAACAGCTCTTAAACATCTTAAATTTTCCCTCCAAAAAGTAGCAGCCAAGCTACGACGTGCCGTTGTTAAAGCAAGCGCTACGAGCAGTGAAACATCGCTACTAACGTATGTCGTGCGCTTGATTCACAATTCGCGGCGTACATCGCTGGATTTCTTCATGGAAGATTCCCATGGCGTTTTCCTAATGGTACCTGCACAGACCGAACCCGGCCTGGATCCACATTAGGAATCCATCCAAAATTCCGCGTTTAGACGATGAACAAGCTGCCTATAGCCGGCCGTTCAACCTGACATTAGCCAACTCTGGTCGCAGTCAAATATTATGGGCACATTGCAAGGAAAAAGGGCCAAATCCGCCACTCTTTGGCACTAACCTGGCTGTTCTCCTCCTTAGCGGCATTATTGGTATTGGCCGATTCCACGTCGGACATTTTCACCGCTTAATATCGAATATTTGCCACACAAACGAACACTTTAACCGCACGAACGTTCCGGGTCCTTGTTTACTCGAAGAAATGGCGGCGAGCGTGGGTCACGTGATGCGACAGCAATGTCGCCCGAGCTCATGTCTGCCAACCAACAATCTGTCCGAAAAACGCCTAGTTGGGCGCTAAAACTGCAATATTCGCATATAAATCTAGTTAAAATATGCTAATAATTACAGCAAAATAACGATTAATAGGACTAATTTAGCCCTAAAACTGCCAGAGTGTTTTAGCTAGTCAATGTTGCCAATAGCACGGTGTTGCTGCTGAAGTTGCCTATACGCTAATTCAAAAATCTAACCGTCTCATGGCGGTAAAATTATAAACTACACTTAACGAGTGGAATTTGGTTTACTTCGTTTGCTTACATTTGGTGTTCGGTGATTTGTTTTGTACAAAGAACATTGTTTTGACCACTATTTCTCTATGAAAAGTAATGGGAAGTTATACTGCATAATAGAGAGTTATTGGACAAGCTAAATACTGTCATGCAGTACTAATGTTATTCCTTATTTTAATACTGCATTTGCGTTATTTCTGTAACGAAATGATAGTTATTGGAATGCCTAGTT